CCAACCAAAGTACATCTCCGCGAACGTCAGAATACTAGCGATAAAGAGACAATACTAAAAGTTTCTTGGCTGGGGAGGGCAGCTGACAAATCACCAGGAGTCAGAATGGTTCAGATACTTCAGGGGCAACAGGGAAGTTAGAAGATGAGGAAGCCAGACCTTCAAAATTCTGATGGAAAATGATTTTCAACCTACTCATCCTTATACAGTCAGAGAAATCAGAAGTGAGGATAGAAGGAAGGCATTGTCAGACATGGAAGAGTGTAAAAATGTTATTTTCTATGTGTCCTTTCTTAGGAAGGGACTAAAGGATGTGTTGCACCAACACGAGGGCACAAACCAAGACAGAAAAGACGTGTGAGCCAGAAAGCAGGTGTGCTAACACAAGAGCACAGGTGTGCAGCTGGTCTGGAAAGAAACCACCCGCGGAGTGAAAGGGGAGGAGGGACCTAGCCGCTTTGGCTCAGTGGGTAGAGCATCAACCTGCAGACCCGAGGGTCCCGGGTTCGATTCCGGTCAAGGGCATTCTCTCTGTGTTTCCCTCTCTTTTCCCCTCTCTCTAAAAATCAATGGAAACATACCCTCTGGTGAGGATTTTTTTAAAAAATGCAAGGGAAGGAGAGTGACTCCAGGAGATAGATCACTAGGAAAAGGAACTGGTATATTATGTGACTACATGGGAAAGGCATTTTATGGGTCTGCTGGAATGTTTGAGGAGATTTAGCAATATGTGTACAAATGAAGAAAAAAAAAGAGGCAATTATTCCAGGAAAAACAAAAATCTGTAGTAGAAAATAAATGTGATTATAGCATACCATTTGGCTCAGCAGTGGACAATATCGACAAAATCATAAGAATATAAACCCCATGCCCTAACCGGTTTGGCTCAGTGGATAGAGCTTCGGCCTGCAGACTGAATGGTCCCAGGTTTGATTCCGGTCAAGGGCATGTACCTTGGCTGTGGGCACATCCCCAGTAGGTAGTGTGCAGGAGACAGCTGATGGATGTTTCTCTCCCATCCATGTTTCTAACTCTCTCTCCCTCTCCCTTCCTCTCTGTAAAAAATCAATAAAATATTTTTTTTTTAAAAAGAAAGGAAAAGAATATAAACCCCACCAAAAAGAGTATAAACCTTGAATATCGGTTTCACTTAAATTTTTAAAATTGTGGTAAAACTATATTGGAAGAATGGGGAGGGGTGGTGGCGTTGGATCGTGTAAGAGTGAATCCTCTCCCGCCATAATAGGGAGTTGGGGAGGTCATTGCTAGTGTTCCGTAATACCTGATTCTCCCTGCTTCTGGGCACATAAAAGACTGCACTTCTCAGCCCCTTGCTGTTGGCTGGGGCCACAGGACTAGTTCTAGTCCGTGGGCTGCAGGTGGAAGTGCTATGCTGCAGCTAGACCAGAGCCTAGATGGCCCTGCAGCTGTCTCTTCTCCCTCCCTCCGGTGATCAAGGAGGCCTCAGGCAGAGCCGCACGATTACAGCAGGCTGGGATTATCTGTGGCATATAGTCCTTTGCAGCAGGCTGGGATTGCCTTGTGGCATATAGTCCTGGAAGCACTGACAGCACTCTGCAGGGGTGAGAGAGAGACCTTGGTTGTGTTAAGCCATTGAGATTTTGGGATTGTTTGTCACGGCTGCCTAGCCTGGCTCAACCGAATACAAACTACTGTCTAACATGGCTAAATACTGTCTAACATGGCTACATCAGGAAACCACCATTTAAACATGTTGTTTAGAATGATGGAGATAATGATTAGAAGAATAACTAAAAACGTGAAAAGTGGTGGCTCTGGCGAGCAGGCCAGAGGCATGGGGAAGGGCAGGGCAGAGGGGCACCTATTTTCATTATGGTGCTATGTGACTTTTTATATGATGTCATTGGATTACACTGGCAGAAATAAAATTTTATAAAAAGCTATATGCATATATGTGGCTTGGAAGGAGTCCCGCCAAACCATTATAGTGGCTGTCTCTTAGCGGGGAGGGGATGCGAGATGGAGTGGCTGGGCGCGGAGGCACTGTGGGAAAGGAGCCCGCACAGATGGAATGCCCGTCTGAGGGGTTTGGCTTTTATCCAGATGGCAATGGGGAGCCGCAGAAGGACTGTAAGCAGAAGAGTGTCCTGAGCAAATCTGCCTGTTATTGTGAGCACCCCGGCTTATGTGGATGATGACTTGAGGGGCGGAGAGGCTGCTGTGGTGGTCCCTGTGAGAGCTGGTGAGACCTGGCCTCTACAACAAATGCCTATTGAAAGCTTGCTATTTACCAGGCACTGTTGGTAGGGCCGATAATACAGCAGGGAACAAAATGGACAAAAGGCCTGTCTTCGGGGAGTTTATGTGGGCGAGAGAGTCAAATGGACAGAAACGAAGATAAATATTAAGTCAGGCGGTAGTTTGTGGTATAAAGAAAATGGAGCAGTGTTAGGAGCGAGAGGGCGATGGTGGGGATAGGGAGGTCAGGGCAGCCTCTCTGAGGAGGCCACATTTGAATAGAGTCCTGAGTTAAGTGAAGGAGCAAGCCATGCACAATTGGGGACTCAAGGCTTCTAGGAAGAGTGAGCAGCAGTCCGGAGGCCCTGAGGTGGAAATGGGCTGGATGTGTCCAAGGAACAGGGAAGAAGTGAGGGGTGGGGGGCAGCCATCAAGGGAAGGTTCTGGGAGCTGAGGCCTGAGAGGTGGTTGGGGCCAGTTTGTGGAATTGGACCTGAGCGCAGGAGAACGGCATGATTTTTTATTTATTTTTTTTGGTTAATCTTCATCCAAGGATATTTTTTCCACTGAATTTTAGAGAAAGTAGAAGGGTGTGTGGGGGAGAAACAGAGAGAGAGAAACATCAATGTGCGAGAGACATGCCGATTGGTTGCCTCCTGCACACTCCCAACCAGCACTGGGGATCGAGCCTGCAACTGAAGTACGTGCCCTTGGCTGGGAGTTGAACCCGCAACCCTTCAGGCCCAGGGCCGGTGGTCTAACCACTGAGCAACCAACTAGGGCAGAGCGGCATGATTTGTCAGAAGAGGCCAACAGGACAGGGCTGGGGCTGGTTAGCTGCGGGGTGGGGAGGCCTGTGAGGAGAGGGGGCTCTGGCTGGCAGTGCTCGGCCTCTCAGCCCTGCCTGGATCAGCTACAGCAGCTTCATCACCTACTTCCCAGCAGCTCATCCCCCCCCCCCCCCCGGGGAATTGAAGGAGCCTTCATAAATCAAAATAGCAGGCAAAGAACAGCCTCTAATTGTTCTGCGTAAAAGAAGCAAAATTAGACGAGTCAGCTGTGGGGTTGAGACTGCCTCCCACACAGCTGTGATCCCGCACCCCACTGAAGACAGACTTTCCAAGACTTGCAATTCTGCTGTCTTCCAGCAAAACTTTCTGCTTCTCCAGCTGCAGGACAAGTGACGGCTATTTTGGGAGGGAGTAGGACAGATGCTGGCCATGGAGGACAATGAGTGACTCAGCATCTTTTTTTTTTTAAAGCCAGACAAATCAGTGACATCATGGAGCCTTAGCGGTAGAACCCATTCAGTCATTCCAAACACCTTGAGGGCATGCATCGGTCCCGCCTAGAGGGGTAGAGGCAGAAGTGGGTTCCACCCTTGGGGTAGAGTGGAGAGAAAGCCTTGGTCCGGGAGTCAGGAGGTCTAAGTTCTTGACTTAGCTCTGCCGCTGTCCCTCCTCACCTTGGCTCAGTTTCCACATCTCTACTCAACATGGGCAATAGGCTACATCGTGTTTCTTAAACTTTAAGATCCATAAGAATCACTTGGGGGAGGGGGTTCTGGTTAAAGATGAAGATTCCCAGAGATTAAGATCTCAAGGTCTGGGGTGGGGTCCCAGGATCTGCATTTCTTGGGGTTCTTCCAATGATTGTGAGGGAAGTCCTTAAACCACACGTTCATAAAATCACTCCCCTCCACCTCTCAGAGTTCTTCTGCTTTGAAATTTGAGGAGTCACTCAGACAACTCTTCTTTGAGTTTCTCAGATCATTCCAGGGACATGAAAGCAGTCCTTACCCCTGCCTCGGTGCACTGGTATGTTTCCATGATCACATTGCACTGGCACTGTTTTCAGTGTACGAGTCTCCTCCAGTGTACCTGGTGCCCAGCCCAGGACTGGAAATGTTGGCCAAACCGGGGCCAGCTGTGGTGCTAGCAGCTATGTGGCAGCATAGACCGTGGAGGGATGGATGGTGGAGAGTTTCAGGTACCGGGCCTGGTTGCAGACATTTGGCTTGGACACCTGGGCATGTGCTCTGTGTTGGAGGTCTGACACTGTCCCCTGCTCCCCTTTCCTACAGCTGGGTGAGTCCAGCTGTATGGGAATAAGATAGTCTGGAAAGGGCAGTAAGAAGGACTGGGAGCCCATGGAGGACATTCCAGGTGGTCTAAGGTCCTAGTCATTCTGCTAGGCAGAGTCCCTCCATCAGAGCTGCCCAATCATATTCCCAAAAGACCAGGTCAGTGGTAGAGGGTCAGGTCACTCTGGTCTAGCCCCCAGCTCCGTTCTTTGCACTTGAAGAATAATAACATCTATCATATACCAAGCACTTATCATGCTTTGCGCTCTGGCCTAAGTGCTATATCATCTCATTACATTTCATAGCAACTCAATGAGATTGGTAAAAATATTGTCCCTCCTTTTACAGTTGTGGACACTAAGGCTTAGAAAGGTCAAGTTACTAGCCCAGAAGCACTCAGCTGACAAACAGTAGAGGCAGGATTCGAACCTAGACCTGTTTCCCTCTGGAGCTGTTTTATTTTTAAAAGATAAGGGTTTTTCCTACAATACCTTCTGCCAAAGTTACTCCAAGCCAGATAAATGCTCTTTCATCTGTTAGAATGGAAAGGAATGATGCTGAATCAGAGAGGTCAGGGTTCTAGTCCCTCCTATGCCCCGGACTTTTGTGTGACCTTGGATCAGTCATTTTGCCTCCCTGAGTTTCAAGTGGAACGGAAATCTGTGCATTGGGACAGTTATATGTGCGTTTCCCTTTAAGGTACACCAAGATGAAGACAGCCACCAACATCTACATCTTCAACCTGGCCTTGGCAGATGCACTGGCCACCAGCACGCTGCCCTTCCAGAGCGCCAAGTACCTGATGGAGACGTGGCCTTTTGGGGAACTTCTCTGCAAGGCTGTGCTCTCCATTGACTACTATAATATGTTCACCAGCATCTTCACACTCACCATGATGAGTGTAGACCGCTATATTGCTGTCTGCCACCCTGTCAAGGCCCTGGACTTCCGCACGCCCGCCAAGGCCAAGCTGATCAACATCTGCATATGGGTCCTGGCGTCAGGTGTTGGTGTACCCATCATGATCATGGCTGTGACCCGTCCCCGGGGTGAGTGGCCACAGGAGGCAGCACATGGGCCTCTGTGGGTTTATAGGCCACTTACAAGGGTAGAGATATGGACTGCTGATCAGTGTGGATGACTGGCCAGTGGGAATATGGATAGTCAACCAATGGGAATGGGAATGGTTGGCCAATGAGGAATGTGAATGGTTGACTGTGGTGAGGATGAATGACTAGTCAGTAGTCATATGGATTGCTGGCCAAAGGAAATTATCAATGGGATTATGGATGGCTGGTTTTTGAGCATGTAGCCGCTGGCCAGAAGTGTGTGGATGACTGACCTTTAAGGAGCTAGATCAGCCGTGGGCAAACTAAAAAAAAAAAAAGATCGTACCCTTTTATGTAATGATGTTTACTTTGAATTTATATTAGTTCACACAAACACTTCATCCATGCTTTTGTTCCGGCGGCCCTCCGGTCCAGTTTAAGAACCCATTGTGGCCCTTGAGTCAAAAAGTTTGCCCACCCCTGAGCTAGATGGATGGCCAGTGGGGTGAGGCTGTCACTGATCCATGAGCAGTGGAGGCCACAAGGTCTGCAGTCCCACCCCAAACTCCCTTCCACCCCAGTTTGAAATCATTGGCTCAAATGACCAAAGCAACGCCTAGAGATTGGCCTTCAGAGAATGACAGGTAGATAGGTGCATTTCCTCAGAGCAAAATGGTAATTATTAGTATAGTAACCGCCTCTATCAGTCAGGGGAGCTGCGCAATGGCTTAACACAGTAGAAGTTTATTTCTTACTCACATTACTGTTCAGTGTGAGCAAGAGGAGGGTCTCTATGCCGCACATTGTTCAGGGACCCAGGCTCCACATGATGGTTTTGGATTCCTCCACTGCTGGGTCTGGGCAGCAGATGAATATGGAGAGGGAGTGGTGAGAAAGCACAACCACTTTTCCATGTTATGGCCCATCTCTTCCTGGTGCTAGCGGGTCACATGACTCCAACTTGATGTAAAGAAGTGGGAAAAGTAGTTCAGCAGGGTGCCAAAGTCACTGGTCACTAGCCTCTCTGAGCCACACTATATCATGGGGTGTTGAGAAGATTAAGTGAGGTTGTCTGTGTAAAATACTTAGGACAAGTATTGGCTCATTGCCAAGGCCCAATAAATAGCAGCAATTAAGATGATTAAGCCTATGAGATAGACAAGGCAGAGACTCCTATCCCCATGGTTTATTTAGGGTCACACAGCCAGGCATTTGGTGGAATTTGGCTTAAAACCCAAGGCTCCTGGCCCCGTATCTGCTGCTCCTTTTGGCCCCTGCAGTGAAGGTTTGCAGATCACCAGTGCTGTGGTGGGAGAAGGGAACAGGCTTGGTGGGAGGCTTCTTGGCCATCGCTGACTCTCACAAGGGTAGAGCCCTTATCAAGTCTCTGAGCTTATTGGTCTTGACTCAGCAGCTGGGCCCTATTCCTCACTGTCAGCCTTCAGTTTACGGGCCATTAACTACAGCCCTGCTGGGGGCTGGGCCAGATGGGCCTCCTCACTCCCCCCCCCCTTCTCTCTCTCTCTCTCTCTCTCTTCTCTCTCTCTCTCATACACACACACACACCTTCCCCAGTGTGTGCCATCAGCACTTATATGCCACTTGCTGTGTGACCTTGCACAGTGCTGCTCCTCTCTGGGCCTGTCCTCCATCTGTACAATGAAGTTCTGCGACTCAGTTATCCACGTGGATCCTGCCACCCTGATGCCCCAGGTCCATTCCGTCTGTGGATTCCCAGCCCCCTTCTCACAACTCTCAGGCTCCAAGTCCATTGTGTAGCTCCTCAAATTCCAGAATTCCAAAAGACCTGGGAGTCTCCTGGGCCAGCCTCCGCCTGTATCTGTATCTCACAACATCCCATAAGCTGCGCATCCAGCCCAAGCCCACACTCTAGGGACAGGGAGCTCATTCCCTCCTGGGTGCCCCTCTTATCTCTGGACAAGTCTGGCAGTCGGAAGTGTTTGCCATTAAACTGAGATTTGCCTCCCCAGCCCTAGCCCCGACCTTTGGACTCCCCCGTGTATCTGCCCTGTGAGTGCACCAAGGGCTGGACTGTGTTATGTGCTTTACATGTTTTGCCCATTTAATCCTCACAACAGCCCTGTGAGGTTTAGGTACTGTTGTTAGGCCCACTTTAGGGACGCTCTTGAGGTTTGACTAGTTTGCTGAAGGCCACACCACACAATTAATAGGACCTGGGTCCTGCTCTTAACTCGCTCTCTATGTCAGTTTAGCAATATCGTCCCCACTGAAACTACTTTGGAAATGTGTGAGCTGTTTTCAGTTATCATAATCACTGGCATTTAGTGAGCTTAGGCTAAATTATAGCATTCTTGTTGGGCTTCTAAAGGGACTTGGAGAGAATATAGGAAGGCCTTCTGTATTAGGGCCAATCCTGCTGGGATCTTGAAAGACGAGTAAGAGTTCACCACGTGCAATGGAGGGTAATCCAGGTAGAGGAATCACCCTGAGTAAAGGCCAGGAGGAGGCGGTGGGACCGGACCAAGTTGAGAAGGGAGGGTCGCAGGCAGGCGGAGCCCCTTAGGCCCCCATTCCCCTTACCCTGCCTGTTCTTCTTTCATTCCTTGATGCAGACGGAGCCGTGGTGTGCACGCTCCAGTTCCCCAGCCCCAGCTGGTACTGGGACACGGTGACCAAGATCTGCGTGTTCCTCTTCGCCTTCGTGGTGCCCATCCTCATCATCACCGTGTGCTACACCCTGATGCTGCTGCGCCTGCGCAGTGTGCGCGTGCTCTCGGGCTCCAAGGAGAAGGACCGCAGCCTGCGGCGCATCACGCGCATGGTGCTGGTGGTGGTGGGCGCCTTCGTGGTGTGCTGGGCCCCCATCCACATCTTCGTCATCGTCTGGACGCTGGTGGACATCAACCGGCGCGACCCGCTCGTGGTGGCCGCGCTGCACCTGTGCATCGCGCTGGGCTACGCCAACAGCAGCCTCAACCCCCTGCTCTACGCCTTCCTGGACGAGAACTTCAAGCGCTGCTTCCGCCAGCTCTGCCGCTGGCCCTGCGGCCGCCAGGAGCCCGGCGGCTTCAACCGCGCCCGGGAAGCTACGGTCCGCGAAAGGATCACCGCCTGCACCCCGTCCGAGGGTCCTGGTGGCACCGCTGCCTGACCAGGCCCGGCTGGCCCACCTGGCGGTCACCCCGAGTGCTAACGGGGGTGGGGGCCAGGGCGCCGCAGGAGGAGAAAGGGGGCCTCTGTTTGGAAAAACAGACCCGGGCTTGAGATGGGCCAGGGGCCCAGAGATGGGGCCCCTGAGGTGGGTGGACCTCTGGGCGGGGCAGAGGGCTGGGCAGTGGGCTGTGCCACTGGACTGAGGGCCTGGTCAAAGGCTCTGGGTGGAGGAGGAGCTGCCGACTCCTAGGGAGGAGGACCTGTGGCTCTAGACCTGGGCGGATAAGTAGGGCCTCTACCGTGGGGAGAGCTTCACGTTCCAACCCTGAGCTGGGCTTGCCAGTGAGGGTGCGGACTGAGCCCTGAAGATGCCTGGCCAGGACCCATGGGGCAGTGGTGGGGACAGTGGCTTGAGAATTGAGCTGCAAGATCAGGCTTCTGTGTAGCGAGGAGGGGCCTCTTCTCGGACCCGACGCAAGGACAGGACTGGGAGGCTACTGCTCAAGATTGGGCCTCAGAGATAGGCCCTGTGTGCAGGGGACAGGGGCCTCAACTTTGGGCGAGAGGCCCAGCCCTGAGTTCTAGCAGGAGGTGGGGCTCAAGGCCGGGCTTGCCCAGGTCCAGGTCCAACTTGCCATCTCTATAAATAAAAAGCAGAGAAATATAGAGAGGGAGAGAAAAAAACGTACCTTCTTGCTCCTGGACAGTCATTTCCTTGGGACGGGCAGGGTGCCTCAGCATGGAGGTAGTGTGCCCAGCGCTGCACCTCAGTGGGGCGGCTCCAGGATAGGGTAGCGGAACAGGGCCGGGGTTGGGGTTGACTCCTCAGGCCGAGTCCCTAACGGGGCTCAGAAGGAGCAAGGAGGCTTCGTGGCTTCAGTTCCAAAACCGAAGCTGCTGGTTGGTCTCAGTGCCAAGGGGTGGTGGTGGGTGGGCTGAGGAAGTGGAGGTGGTGGTGCTGCTGGTTCAGCTTTGAGGTTAGTTCCTGAAGCCAGTGGACAGATGCCGTTGGGGGTTCCCTGGACCCCCAGGTCCCCCACCTGCTCTCGCTGCCCCCTTCAAGCTACGGAGAGGCGGGTCTACCCAGAGCTAGGCAGAGAGTATTTCATTTCATTTGTGGGGCATTTTATTGAGGCGAGCCCAGATCTTTGCTTCCCCCAGTACCAGGGTCTGTCCTTGGTCCCTGGCCTCCCCTTGCTTTATCTCCCCCGCCCCCGGCTTTCCCCTTCCTCACACATGCGCAGCCTCAGTCAAGCACCCTGGCTCCCTATTGAGGCAGTGTTCTGACATCCTTGTAAAAACATTTAATCATCTTTCCTTTGGGGGACAGATGGCAAGAAATTGACGTCTGTCACAAGCGGAAAAAGAAATAAAAGGGGGGAAAAAAGAAAAGAAACAATGTACCTCTTCTCCTTTTGACAGCCATTTCCTTGGAACAAAAGCCTTTCCCTGTCTGGGAGGCTGTCACTCAGCAGGGGCTGAACTGGCATTCAGCAAGGTGGGGGCTGAGGCACCAGGGTGGGCTTTGGGCACATTAGAAGCAGGGATACCCTTGGTTGGCAAAGCACAGTCCCCTTCTCAGGGCGAGGTCCCCGGAAACTGCAGACCTGGGACTTTTCTTCTCCTGAGAGAGGCTCCCCTAGTGCCTTGGGAAGATGCGGGGCTGTGCCCAGCACTCAGACCTGCTGCCAAGTTACCGAGGTCTGGGATCCCTGCTCACTTTCACCCTTCAAATGGAGCCTGAGACCATGGGGTCTCTGTGTCTGAATGGGGGTGGGTATCAGCAAGGTGGAGGCACTCCTGGACACTCCTCATCCCCTGGCACCCCTCCTGTGAATGCCTTGGGGAGATGTCAGGGGAAGCAGACAATTTAGGAACCAGGGAAGGAAGACTCCTGAAGGGGGTGAGGTTGGGACCAAGTCTGTTTCTTTTCCTTGCAATCGCTGTGTCCCCTTTAATTCTTCCTAGAACAGGCTGCTCAAGGTTGCCCAGGTCTGTCCACTACCGTTTCCTGTGGCTACAACAGACTGGCTCCCTTTTACTACTTCTCATACACAAATTTGTCCTGGGGTCAGCAGGGGCTGGGTCCAGACCATGTGCATTTAAGGGAAAGCAAATTTCTATGGAAATGTATGCCATGCCAGGCTGTAAGCACGCTGGGCACTGGGACTTGGAAATGAGTCAGGTACTGCCCTGCCCTCAGAAAGTTTGATCCCGTGCTGGAGACAAAGCATAAGCGATGATTGCATCTCCCTGTGATGTGTGTAGCCCACAGGGAGCCCTGGGAGGGTGTCACAGGGAACTACCTTTTCTAGCTTTGCACGGAATGAGATTTGTAGCAATTCTGAAAGAGGTGGAAAAGGGTCAGAGGTCCTTGATGCATGACGAGGAGTTGGCCACTAAGAAGAGGGACAGGGTGTGCAAATCAGGGAGATGTTCCAGCGCTTGGCAAACCTGAGAAGTTGTGTGCAGCTAGAGCGTGGGGCTTAACCGAATGTGTCTGATGACATTCCTGGGGGGACATGGTGGGAGTAGTATTATTACCCTTATTTTAGACAAGAAGTCAGGCTCAGAGAGGTCCAGCCACTCACCCTAAGCCACAGAGCTTGTTAGTGGCAGCGGAACTCAGGTCAGTGGAATTCCAGGGTCCAGTTTCCAGGAATTTACTGATGAATTTCAGACATCATTGAAGTAGAAGAGCTGTAGAACCCTGGGATGAGGTTTTGAAGACTTAAAACCAAATGGAAAGTCTTGAAGGAAAAGGGCAATTTTCCATGAACTTTTGTTCCACCTGGCACTCTAACTCTTCACATTTTAAAATGTACTGGAGCCCTACCTGGTTTGGCTCAGTGGATGGAGCATCGGCCTGCAGACTGAAGGGTCCTGAGTTTGATTCCAGTCAAGGGCACATGCCCCGGTGGTGGGCTCAATCCCTGGTAGGGGGCCTGAAGGAGGCAGCCGATCGATGATTCTCTCTCGTCATTGATGTTTCTCTCTCTCCCTCCCCCTTCCTCTCTGAAATCAATAAAAATATTTAAAAAAATAAAATGTACTGAACATGATGTATTTTAAAGCTCCAAATTAACAGTGTAATTCTAGAGCATCACAGAGCTCTCAAACTAGAGCAGATCTCATTTTCCCCCAAATTCCCATTCCTCTCTCTTCAGGAGGTGGGAGGGAAGGAAATTATTGTCTCCTACAATTTCATATCTCTTGTAATAGAAGTAGTGGTTGAGGCTGGAGTCAGATCTTGGCTTTCCCTTTCTGTGCCTCTGTTTCCTCATCTGTAAAATAAACTTCTTTCATGGGGCTATGAGGATTTGATGAGTTAATATACAGCAAGTCCTCCCTTAACTTCATCTCTAGTTTCTTGGAAAGTGCAACTTTAAGTGACATGATGTATAACAAAACCATTTTACATAGGCTAATTGATATAAGCAAGAGTTAAGTTCCTACAGGGATATTTCTGGCCACAAAAACATACCACTGTCCTATATAATAAAAGCCTAATATGCAAATTGTCCCCTCAACCGGGAGTTCGACCAGGAGTTTGACCAGGGGGTGGGGCCAGCCGGCCAACCATGGGAAGGGAGGCCTAGGCTGGCGGTGGTGGCAGGCAGCAAGGGGGAAGGGAGGCCCCAGCCAGCAGCTGCTAGGGACCCTGCCCATGCACAAATTTCGTGCACTGGGCCTCTAGTTTCTAAATAAAGACCCCAAATGCTTCTAATATTAAACATCAAAGTCAATGTGAGCTATACATACATTTAAGAAAGAGTAATAAAAAAAAGTAAGATGATTATTTTCCGACTCCCTTATTCTAGCTCAGGATCACAGGTGGCCACAGCCTCTCCAGGCAGCTCATGGTGCAAAGTGGACAGGATGTTCTCCCATCACAGGTCACATCACACACACACACTCTTTCTCTCTCTCTCATAATTTAGACGTGTCAATTCACCTCACGTGCACACCTTTAGAATGTGGGAGGAAGCTAGAGTATCCAGAAAACCCCCACACAGACAAGGAGAGAACACACACACCCCACACGGGCCTCAGCTGGGAATCAATTCTTTTCTCATCACTGTTATAATGAATCGATGCTGAAGGAAAGGACATCATTTGGGGACCTGCTGTATAGGATCCAGGGCATAAATAGGCTCTTAGCACATGGTTAATCACTGTTATTACTTTCAAGTGGACATGCAGTGCAAGGTCAGAGCTAGAGACCTAGAGGGAAAGTAGACGAGCTTCCAGGCCAGTAATAGGAGAAGAGACTGGGGACCCAGCCTAGGGATCCCTCTAGGCTCAGGAGCCACTGTGGAGAGTGAGAAGCTGGAGGAGGACGGGGAGATGTGCTGCCATGGAAACTGGAGGAGGAGGGCGTTCCCAGAGGGAGGGAGTGATGGATAATGTCAAGTGTCATATAAGAGAGGTTGGGGGTGGGGAGGGCAGGAGAGTGATGAGAGTAAACCAGAGTCCTCAAGTTCAGTCTCCTACCTGGCCTGCAATCCAATCTCAGCTCTGAAGCTAACTGGCTGTGTGACCTAGGCAAGGGATTTGCCCTCTCTGGGCTTCTATGTCTTCCTAGATCTAAGTCCAAGGAATGGGTCAGGCTCTAATATGATACTTAGTCTCATAAGAATCCTGATTTTTCTGCTTATTGGCCACTTGCTAGCAGTGTGCTTGCAGGCAAGTCGCTTTACTTCCAAGATTCCCCTCTGAGGGCTAGAAATGATGCTAGTGAGATGCTTACGAAAGTGCCCGGCACAGAGCAGACCCCAAAGACAGGGTTATTCTGTAAGCATGAGGGGCTGCCAGAGGCAGCTAAGGACGTTTGCTTGGCTTGGAATTTGAAATGCTCCTCAAGGTGCAGAGGGGCCACCACCGTCCTGAGAGGACTTGGAGGAGCAACAGCCCAGGCTGGGCACCTGCTGGGCTCCCACCAAAGACCGGTCCTGTCTGTCTGCAGCAGCAGCTCCCGAGCCCGGGCCCTGGCCTGACTGCCTTCCCTGCCTGGCAACTGCGGCGGATCCACGTGGAAACAGCCCCAGGGGCTGTAAAGCCCCCGGAGTGATGCCCCTGGGCCGAGGCCTCAGCCTTCACACACAGAACACAGACACACACCTTTCTCTCATCAGTAACTTACTCATTGTTATTTATTCTTTTCTTTCATTTCTGGGCACTGAGCACATAGTGCTGGGAGCTCGGGGACAGCGATGGGAGGAAGTCCCTGCACTCGGAGCTTGCAGATGCTGGGAGACAGGAGACTAGGACAGCTGGCTGTGTGCTTCTGGCGGCCAGCAGTTTGGGAATTCTGAAAGGGGTTAGCAGGGGTGGGCAAACTTTTTGACTCGAGGGCCACAATGGGTTCTTAAACTGGACCGGAGGGCCGGAACAAAAGCATGGATGGAGTGTTTGTGTGAACTAATATAAATTCAAAGTAAACATCATTACATAAAAGGGTACGGTCTTTTTTTTTTTTTAGTTTTATTCATTTCAAACGGGCCGGATCTGGCCCGCGGGCCGTAGTTTGCCCACGGCTGGGTTAGGGAGAGCCATGGAGATGGACATCCTGATGGGGTAGAGGGCGAGGCGGGGGGTTGCCCAGGTTCTAGCTCTGTCATCTCCACTGGCCATGAGCCCCACCGGGGGCCCAGCTCTTCCCAGAGTGCAGAGCGCCTTCACAGCCATCTCAGCGCGAATGAAGCCCATGTAATTAATAACAATAGGTCACACAGCACGTGGTCCTCATCATTGCTCTGGGTACTTTACCTGCGGTAATTTACTCAATTTTCACAGCTTGACCACGAGGTAGGCATTGTTATTATTACCCCAATTGTACAGATGAGGAAACAGACCTAGAGAGGCCACATGGCATTTCAATAGCTGGGCCAGCGAGGATGCCCTCTTGGGTCTGTCAAGTCCCCTTCCTCTGCTTCCCTCCTCTTGCGTGCCGAGAGGAAACTGATGACGCAGAAGACGCTAGGGAGACGGTGGGTCCAGCTCACAGGCATGAACGGAGCCTTCCTGTGCCAGGTCCTGTGCCTCCTCCCCTTGGCACCAGAGCCACATGCCAGCTGCCCAAGAAACCGCTGTGGCCTTGGCAGGTCCCCCATCCATTGCTCCCTGCCTTGGAAGACCTCTGGTTCTGGAATTTTCCCACTGCCTGCCATGACTTAGCTGTATGACTGTGGGCAAGTCACTTCATTCAATCGTGGATGACAACACTTACCTGGTAAGAAGTTGTGAAGATTTAGAAAGAGGCTGTGAAAGAAGGACTTCATCTGTTTTGGTCAAGAAAGCGTTCCCAGCAAATTGCACTACATATGGTGGCTATTCTACTCCGTGCTGCCTAGTAAGTGCCCATCAGATGGAGCTTTTTAATATTATGTCGTATTAAGGTTACACATGCTCTGACCTTAATGCTGTAGGCCTTCCTCTTTTAACCATTCTCCTCGAGTTTCAAATGGTGGAGCAGAATGCATTAGAGAGGAAATTTTCAATAGAGGTCTTCTTCTCCAGTTCCTTACACAGGGCTGTCCCCTTTTGTCCTCACCAGGACTGCTCTCCCAGGGACCCCAGTGGTGGGCACAGCCTGAGAGGGAAGAAAGGTCCCTGGGTGGCACTGGCCTAGACCTCTTGGCCTGAATGTTTGAGTCATGAGGACGGAGTCCCTTGGTGGGTGTCAGTGCAGGTGACATCCATCTGCTGGGACTCAGCTCCTAGAATCTCCTTCTGGAATGAGTCTCAAGCCGAGAGACAGAGAATGTGGGTTGGACTCTGTCATCCATTTCCTGGCTGTGCAACTTTGGGCAGGTCTCTGTCCCTCTCTGGGTCTCTACACAATGGAGGGACAGAGGCAGAAGTTGATGGGTTCTGGGAGTTCTACCATCCTGGGAGAGAATAGAGGTGTTTCCTTTTTGCCCCTTGATGCCAGAAACAGACACTTATTGGTAAAGTCCCCTGGGCATCTGCCCAGAGGCCAGGAAAAGGACGCCTTGGGGTCTGGTGTTTGTAATCGGAGCTGCTCCACTTTGGGGAGGAGGGAAGAGGCATGTCACAAATGAAGCGTGACTCAGACATCTGGCTCTTGCCAATCCCGGACCCCATCTTGGTACCAAGGACCCAACCTTCTGTTTTCCCAATAAAGTGAGCGCTATTTCAAGTGTCCACATCTCTGGCTGTTTCTTTTGCTCACCTTCTGTGGTTTCCTTGCTTGTGTGTGTGAGGGGGAAGCAGGGGCAATTTAGGAGGTGATATAGACCTGCCTGCGCACAGAGTGAAAAGTATAGCTCTGCCCTCAGGACCTGTCTTGGAGGTAAATACAACACTGTCCCTTAAGAACCCCATCTGGCCCAGCCAGCGTGGCTCAGTGGTTGAGCGTCGATGTATGAACCAGGAGGTCAAGGTTTGATTCCCAGTCAGGGCACATGCCCTGACTTGATCCTCAGTAGGGGGCGTGCCGGAGGCAGCCGATCAATGATTCTCTCTCATCATTGGTGTTTCTATCTCTCTCTCCCTTTCCCTTCCTCTCTGAAATTAAAAATAAAAAAAAGGAACCCCATCTGATGGGAGAGACGGATACCCAAGGCACGCTCCCCCCCTCCCCCTCCCTCCAAGTTGGCTCCTCCTCATCCCTGTGGTAACCCCCCTAATCTAAGTCCCTTGTTCTCCAGAGCCCTGCCTACCCCCTAACTCCTTCCTGCCGCCCTGCTCCCACCTCCCTTCCTCCCCCTGCCCTATGGTGACCTTGCCTCTGACTGTAGAAGCCCCAAACCTTTGTCCATATAAGGCAGCTCTGGGGGCGGGAATTAGAGCCTGGTGCTCCAAGAGAACCCCACCTTCTCAGTATTCTTTCTCAAAGAGTTGTTGGCCCTGCTGGTTCCTAAGGAGCTCTCTGGA